GGGACACTGGAGGTTGCCAGAATGTGGAGCACTTTCTCTGAGAAGTCTGAGGGTACATAGTTCATCAGGTCATTGGAATTGGTCTCAAGCAAGGTGTAGACGGTGGATATCTTATTCACCACCACATCCACATCTTCCATAGGGATGTCCTTGATCTTGAGGGAATTCAATGACTCTCGCACTATTTTGTATGGCACTCTGGTATGTCCTTGGATATGACGATACAACATGAGCGAACAGCAAAGGCCCACCATGACAGGTCCAGGCCAGCTGTTGTACTCAGGTAGCACCTTCTGCAACAGTTTGGGGTCTGTGTTGTTCTGCAGAAGAGTGAAGGTGAGGGACATGTTTTCACTCACATAGGGACAGGTGCTTACGCGCACACAGGAATTATAGAAGTAGTTGCTCAAAGCCACAGCCTCAGGTGTGATCTTGGGAGCATACTGTAACAAATCCATTGGTTTTCCTTCTGTCTTCGAACTGTAGGTGAAGCCGAACTCTTCATCCTTTGGAGTCACAATTTGGAAGACATCCAACAGGTCGAAGTGTTTCATGTGAGTCCTAAGGAGCTCGAACTTGCGGTCAGACCGCTCAACAGCCGTGATGAGACCATTGGTGTCGAGGTCAGTAGGTTGCTCAACTAGCTTGTTGTCCTTTCCTAGAACGGTGTAGGATGTTGCCTTATTGATGAAGGTTTGGCGCGCCTCGTGGTCGAAGTGAATCCTGTCCGCTTTGTTCCACCATCGAGATGGAGTTTGCGGGTGAGGAACCAGTTCAATCTCTATGAGGCGTCCGTCAACAAGGAGGTGATCAACGTCAGGGTCAGGTGTAGGTGGATTAGCATCACCACCACCTCCACCACCACCGGAACCAGTTGTATCTGGAGCGGGAGTCGTGGTCGTACCAGCCGGATCGAGGCTGTTTCCACCAGCAGGAGCTGGAGCTGGCGAGGCAGCCGGAGCTGGCGTCGCAGCAGGTGTTGGAAGCTTCCAGGATCCGACGTGACCAATCGGAGGTGGACATACAACCGGGGTAGTACTGACAGCTGATGGAGTAGTCTGCGGGGGAACGCGAGGCGTTGCCTGGAACAGACGCTGGGGTCATTGTGCGTCACCATGAGCTTGAGTTTGCGCAAATTGTACAGCGCGAGCTCGTTCCGTGGGAGTTGTAACGGGCGGTAGCTCGTCAACAACGGGGTCCCTAGGAATTTGCATACTCAGGCGACGGGATCGTTCTTGGAATTCGAGGTCGCTCATACCAAACATACCGGAAGACCTACGTGTAGCACGATAAGGTAGCGGTGTCTGGTTGTTGTAGTTGGTCGTCATGGTGATCTTGTTGTTGTTCTTGCAGTGGCAGCAGGCATGGGAAACATGGACATGCTGCTTTACGCACATCAGAATGGATGTGCTTGGAGCATGTTTACATGCCGCAATGCCGCAGAAGGTGGATACTTGGATGTGGTCAAGTGGCTTCATGAGAATGGATGTCCATGGGATAGCAGTGTTTGTGCAAAGGCTGCTGATAAGGGGCATTTGGATATCCTCAAATATGCACATGAACATGGATGCCCATGGGATGAATCTACATGCAAGGAAGCTGCTGAGAAGGGGCAGCTGGAGATGCTGAAATATGCACACGAAATGGCTGTCCATGGGACAAGAATGTTTGCGAACGAGCAGCTTGGTTTGGGCATATTCAAGTCTTACACTATGCCCATGAGAACGGATGTCCATGGGAGGATGGCACTTGTAGCAGTGCTGCCTGTCGCGCCAACTTTGAAAGCCTCAAATATGCCTATGAGCATGGTTGTCCATGGGAGGAAGAACTGATTGATGAAGCAGCAAGGAGTTGGCTTCCACGTGACGAAGACGGACTTGACGTGGAAGAAAGGAAATGTCGTGGATATGTTCTTAAAGTTGCCACTGAACGTGGATGCCATGTAGTGGATCAACTTGAATAGGACCAAGATTCTGAAGAGGAAGAGAGTGGCCAAGATTCGGAAAAGGATGAAAGTGGCAGCTATTTGTCGGATTTGAAGGGTGACGAAGATGCAGAGAATGATGATCGGGTGGAGGAGGAAGGAGAGGGAGACGAGAAGGAGGAGCAAGTCTAGTTGCTAGTTGCATTGGCAGTATCTGTATCCAATATGACCTAACTATATATGTAGCTGCTGGCTAGCTAGCAGTCATTGAATCTGATCTGAGTCGGCGTCGCCATTGCCGAAAGGCTGAGCTTTGCGGATGTAGCCTTGGAAAGAGAGATGACACGAACCAAAGTCTCGACGAAAGCACTAGCGCTAATTCCGGAGAGATGGATACAGGAGTCAATGCCTGGCCAGAACCATGTAGCTCGACGAAACCAGCAATTGATGCGGCACGTCACTGTTTGGCAGAATGGCTGCGTTGTACCGCAAACCGGACCCATACCGTAGCCACAAGTTGAGCTTTCCAAAGTACTGTGGCTTTGCATAGCTACAGCTAGCCCACCCGCCGTAACCCTCCACAACGTTTTCCACGTGACGATAGAGATGGCCGTTGGTACATGTGACTGGCCAATTTTGTCCCGTAGTGGCCATTTTTCTTCGGAGTGGCGGTCCCGAACGGTGCGGGAACGGAATCGAATCTTTCGTCGGAATTGACTTGTGGGAAGCCTCGTCATTCTTGCATGCTTTTCCCTCCGAAGCAGTTAATAGCTGCATCGACCCCCATCTCATCCTTCCTTCCTCAAAGACAAGCACATCGCCAACAAGAGCCAAGTCTGTGGCCAAGCTGAATCGTACAGTCCAGTGGCACCTTTGCGCCTTGAGCAAAAAGCCATTCTTACTGGAAAGTCTCGAGTCTTGAGAGACAGTAGATCGAGTTTCCTTGAAGCATCCGTTGGTCGCCCTCCCTCTGGGTATCTTCTTTCACGGTCCCATAATCTTCTTCCCATTGGCAATTACCCTCAGTAATCTGACCACCACCTTTTCCCAAACAGAAAAAGAAGATCTTATTACCCAACCTTCATATACCCATCCATCCATCCTTCTACCATGCCTCGTACTTTTGTCTTCCAAACGACCCTGCCTTCTGCCCTGGACAAGGACGAGGCTGCCGCCGCTGTGGAGGAGGGGACACGCAGCAACAACAACATGGAGAACATGGAAATTGCTGGCGGCAACTCGGATAGCGATGACAGCAATGGTAACAATTCCCCTCCTCCTCCTCCGTCCAAGGCCAAGGCAATGTCCAATTGGATCCGCAACAAGTTTCAGACTTCGTTGCACGATGTGAGTAATAATACAAACAGCGCTGGACAGAAAAGTAGTTATGTGCCCTTGAGATCGACGACGACGACGGCACGACGACCACGACGGTTTGATTACAATTATACATATGATTCTCATAACATTGATGAGGATGCTACACGACAGGTAAAACAGAAATTGGCCCAAAGCATGACGGATCCCATTGGCAGAAGCAGCAGTGGTAGTGGGGATGACAAAGAAGAGGCATCCTCTTCCTCTTCGACCGAATCATCATCACCCGCACGACCCAAACAACGGCGGTCCTCGTCCTTCCAAAAATTGTCGGGGATTGAAGTGGAGATTGAATCCTCCACCGACAGGGATGATTGTCTCTACCGAAAACGATATCTCGACACCATCTGGTTCCTCCATAAGAAACAAATCATCCTCGCCGTTGCATTCTTGTTTGTATGGTTGTTGGGGATCCTCATTGGTGCTTGTGGCTCGGGACAGTGCCGTTCTTCCTCCTCCAGTCAGATCGCAGCCATTCAGAGCGTTGGAACCTCTTGCAGTGGAACGGGGCTAGACGATTCTTCTTCTCAAGGCAACACCTTTCTGGGGAACAACAATTCAAACGACAACAATGTGCCTCAGTACGACGAGGCACCAACTCTGACCAACAAACCTCCCAGCAAACCAAGCAATAATGAAGATGAACTCGTTGCCACACCCATTATTACAA